GGAAAGAGTAGACGTGCCGTAGAAGAAACGACAGGCACAGAAGAATAGAGCCTGGAGAGGAAATTGCGGAGACGTCTTGACTCGACCAAGGTGAAAGCGGGAGTGGAGAAAAACCTCGTGGAGTTGAAAATACGCGGGGTGAACAGTGCGGAACCACGATGCGCGATTGGAGGAATGAACACACGTGGTCCGAATAATGAATATAAATAAGTACCGTGATGGAAAATAGATGGAAAAATACTGGAGACATGAATGTACAGTGAAAGTAGGGCGAATGTAAGTAGGGCGAATGTAAGAGCCGCTACAATAATAATGATAATAATAATAAAAATAATACCATTACCATGACTACTACGGCTACTACAATGCCTACAACTAATACTGCGATTACAACTACTACTACAACTACTTCTACTACTTCTACTCCTACTCATACTATACTACTACTAAAGAGCAATATAGAACACTATTTTTAAAAGTACACATGTACACAGTCCAAATCAAGGTTTGTTACATATTTAATGGCTTTGGTTTTGCAAGGGAATAAACAGTTGACATTTGTCATGCATAAAAATTAACTGTCCTTTTCCCCGATCACACTTGAAATAGTGTTTCCAACTTGAGGATGTGGGTTAAGATCCCACGTGTGGCTACTTAGGATGCACAGCTGGACATTGTAGATCACCACGGTGGGAATTCAGAGAAGATGAATAATTGATCGGTGACAAGTCTGAAGAGTAATTGCAATGAATTGGTTTAATATCAAACTGTCGGCAAAGTCAACCGAATAGTGGAGTGACCTTTCCAAAGCTTACTTTCCCAGGAATATAGGCGTGTCATCATCAGCTCGAGATTGCCAAATAGCCCGCTATTTCTGATTTTGGGAAATAATCCCGAAGTTACAAATCGCGTCTTCATCAGCTCGAGATTCGACCTCGAAACTTGAAACTCGACCTTGAGAAATTAGCTCGAGATATTTTGCTCAGCATTCACGCATAGTGCGAACCTTCGGGCTGGTGAAGACGCACCAGATAAATATCAGGATATTTTGCAAACTATCCCAAGATATCTCGGGATGATTATCCCGACCTAATATCCTGCTAATTGCAACTTCGAGCTGATGAAGACGCAAACTAACTGGATAATTTGCGATCGGGATAATTGAAATAGCGGGATATTTGGCAATCTCGAGCTGATGAACACAGGCCTTATGAGAACAGTTTTGCTGCATAACGCATCAAATGCCCAAGTCTCACTATTTTAGACCTGCAGGTATCATATAGCTTTGCACAATAAATGTTGTGTCTGCGTCTGAGTCTGTTTTTCAGATTGATACAAAACACAAAGTTGTAGGTTAAAGACAGCTGTTTATGGCAAATCATTTAACCACCAAACCTATCTTCAGTTGTAACAGTATGTTTGTTTTGCCCAATCTGAAATAACCTAAAGTGGGATTCATGCATTTTGCAAGGAAACTCATCACATTACCGATTCACTTGATGGAATAAAACACTAGTCATGCGAGTGTCTTAAAAGCTAAAAGAGCAATGTTTACTCATAAATATTTGATCTAGAATTCTGGCCATGATTTCTTCCATCGCTATTAAAGCTTGTTCAGATATGATGCCGCAAAACCACAATTTTTTATTTGGCTATGATGAGGTAAAGTGTAATACACCTCACATTTCTGTATCATATAACACAGAGCTCGGTGAATATGTGCAAGTCCTTTTTTTGCGGCAGTTTACTGCACCATATCTGAACTAGCATGAAAAGAGCAGTAGTTAGTCATTAATATTTGATCTAGAATTCCAGACTTGTCTTCTTCCATTACTTTTAATCACCTTGGAAACAATTGAAATCAAGGGAATGAACTTTGATAAATCGTGATCTTGGAGGTTGGGAGTTATTAGGACATTGTATTTGGGGCATATATTGGCTGTATCACTAGATATATTTCCTTATTAAACACGATTACAACTAATTTAGAAAAATGAACTCAAGGAGTCATTTCAATACCCTTTTGTATATCCAATAGAAATCATGTTCGGATTACATAAGTCATGTTCACATAGTTCCATAGGTGACTTACATGTGGAAGGTCATTGAAATTGCCTTAGGTTAATTTTTCGGAAGTAGTCGCAATCGTGTCCTATCATTTTTTGACATTTTAAAGGTAATACAAAGTTTTGGTATTGGGTCGTGAATTTGGTTCAAATGAACAAACTGGAAGCATATGCGACCCTACAATATTCAGTGATCATCGTCGCTGTTGAAATCGAGTCTAAAGTTATGAAATTGTAAATAATAAACTCTTTATGTTGTATAGCTTCCTCTCAAGGTCAATACATTAATTAAGCTATAAAACAATGTTTCTTGACTAAAATCGACCGATTAGCTATTCCCGTTTGGAAATTATATATCACAACTACATATTCTGAGATTTTCATGGTTGCAGCTACGGCCGTAGACGCTAATTGAAATGTATATCAAAATTTACCGGGAGCACCGGTAAATTTTTATATTCAATTTTTCTCAAAAGCAGAAGTGTTTTAGGGGCTAAATTTCTGCTGCTTATATTATATCCACAGGGGTATCCAAATACATCAAAATTGTAAAGAATCACTATCCACCCATTTTCAAAATTTCCCAAAACTTTGTATTACCTTTAAGTACCAGTCATGTCCTTTAAGATCCACCGTTGTTTAGGTTTTGATATCAGAATCAAAGAAGGCTGTTACATTTTGATGGAATGGAAATTTAATTTGAGATGCATTTCATGACAGTCTTCTATCAGATAAACCCTATCTGCAGAAGGTTTTGGTCATGTTGATTTAATTGTGGTGTATTAACTTTGAATAGATAAAAACAAATAACAAGGTTGCTTTCATTCTCATGATCAAACTACATGTATATAGTAGCAAGCCCGTACAAGCGTTTTTTAAGTGGGGGTTCTTAGGGTTGCAACTTTGAGCCAGATTGAGCGGCGAATAAGCGGGGGGGGGGGGGGGGGTGGGGGGGGTTATAGAGCACAATTTTGTTTTAAATCAACACCCCTCCCCCAAACTTCAGCAACAACAACAAAAAACAAAATCCTTCTTTCTTTTTTTTGTAAGGGGGGGGGGGGGATTCACGCGAACCCCTAGTTTATACGGGCCTGAGTAGCATTAAAACAAACAAATTTTTCCCTGGTGCAGCATAAGATTTAAGGATCTTATAGTACAAGCAAATGCAAAGTTTTCGCTGGAAGATTTCTCTTCCCTCATTTCCCAATAGATACTATAATAGTTTAATAGGGTTAGGGCAGAGATTGATTGTAGGTCAGGTTAAGTGTAAAGAGTACACTTGGGTGTAATTCTGAGGTCAGTGCTGTAATTAGGAGTATGACGAAAATTGACTCTCGAACAATTGTTGGCAATTGCATGATGCTTTAGGCGATGCTTAGTTATAGGTCATGCAATCGCCTGATGTGATTGGCTGTAGCTTGATTTCAGAAGAGAATTACGTGGCTGTGATATCTATATCTGCATCTATTCCCTTAGATGAGGTTAAATAGATATGACAACATTAATAACCTTCCTGTTATAAAATAACACTCAGACATCAAGAATGAAAGGTTAAGCAATGATTTCATTTTGTGTTTTGGTGTCGTGGTCAAGTGGTTTAAGGCGCTCAACTGTAGATGCAAAGGTCGAGGGTTCGAATCACCGACATGGCACTAATATCCTTTGGCAAGATATTAACCTGCACTTGCTACTCTCCACCCAGGTGTTAAAATGGGTACCCGGTAGGATGCGACCGTCATTGTCGGTCAAACAATTTTTGAGCGTAAAGTAATGCCTGGCTGGAATGCTCCCCAGGGAGTGGAGATTGTGCACACATTGTTTGCGGGCAAGCACTGAATCCAATGACCGAGATGTAAGCGCTATATAAAAGCTGAATATTATTAATATTATTAAATTTCAGGACAGGGTTTATTTTTAGGGATAAATTGATTATATAGTGTATTTCAAATTGGTATCAATAATATTTTTATTTTATTTTATTGCAACATTGTTAAAATACAAAGTAATTATCGGAAAACGCCATACTTAGGTAATAATGTTGTCAAAAGCTTGAAGAAAAAACATTTTCCTTGAGGTAATAGGCAATGAGAGTGCTTCATGCATCATGCTATAAGATGGATTGTTCATCTCAAAGCTAGCTGGTATGATTGGCATGAAATGAGATGAAAATGTGAGGTCTTTATGAAGAGATAATGAGAATGGGAAAAGAATTGACAGTATGAACTTTAAAGCAATGTAATAACAACCAAGGTTCCAATATGAGATTCATCATTGAGATGACATAGTGGGTTACAAGATGCTTCAGCCATTCTCCATCCACGAGCCTGCATGATCAATTCAAATGTAGCGCTCTGATACTTCTTTCCCTTCTGTTCAGACAATCAGATCCTATAATGATCGGTGTATATATCACATTGTACTTTAAGGAGTGTGGCCCTCTAGGGGCTTATAGATCAAGAATGAGGAAAATTTAAAGGACATAAGTTAACAAAGTTCTTTTCCTCTCCAGAATAACTGACCTTCGATCTTCTAGTTGTTATTGTAGACATAATTGTGTCAGATGCAAAGAGTTGGATACAATTTGCTAGATCTAGAGTCCATTTTACATCGTGATAAAAGTAAGAAAATAAGATAAATAGAAACATCAATTTAAATAAGCTAGAAGAATAACATATCTGTATCAAAAAAGTAATCCATAATTTGAAAGTTTATAGAATATGAGTTGAGGTTGTAATCTATGCTGTTTTTATGCCTCCGTTACGAAGTAGCCGGAGGCATTATGTTTTCGGGTTGTCCGTCCGTCCGTCCGTCCGTCCGTACGTCCGAGTTTGCGATGGTATGCTTGTGTGTTTAGTTTTACGTATGAGATATCCTTGTGTGTCACTTTAGAACTTGTGTGTCTAGCCACACAAGAAAACTATCAAATTCAGTGTCTAAGATGTCTGACATGTCATTTCTAATCAAATAAGATTTAGTCACACAAGAAAATTTTCTCCCAAAAAATGTCCAAAAATAAATGTCTAAATTTTAGAGAGGGGTTGTGTCCAAGTAGACAAACGGAATAGTGCCATCTACAGTTGACATCCAGGTAGCTAGGTACTATGCGCCTCTGCAGTACTTGTGTGTGTGTGTGTGACTTGTTAGTGTGTAGTATTTGTAAGCAAAGTAGTAGGCAGTGTATGGCTCTGTGTGTGTGTGTGTGTGTGTGTCATGGGTGGATGGTTTTGTGTGTGCAGTGTATGCATTGCATTCATGCGCGTGCCGTGCATATCACATGCTATGCACATGCTTGCTATGTATGCACATGCTTGCGTAGTCTATGCATGCTGCGCTTGCAGGGCTAGTGACTAGTGAGTTATTGTGCCCTGTGGCTGTGCATAGTGGGGAGCTCCTGTCTAGCACAGAAATATGGCCAGCAAGAAAGGTAAGTTTTCCTTCCTTTTATCCTCCAAATTACTAAGGTTAGCCAAAGAGTCTATGAATCAATTTTCTTACAAAATCTGTTGGAATTTTTGCCAAACTTTAGCAGCAGAATTTTACTTCAGAAGTTCAGTCCTTCAAATAGGTCTACCAAAGAAACTCTTGCAAGTTGCAAGTTGCATTTCAGTTGCAATTGCAATTAGAATCTAGGCCTAGACTAGACCTAGTCTAGAGATTGAGATCTAGGCCTAGATCTACTAATATTAGATCTAACAGTTAGACTACGACAGTAGGCCTACTAGATCTAGTACTAGATCTACTCTAGGGTGTCTGAACGATTTTTCAATTTTCAATTTGGGATCGTTTTTCACCATTTTTGTTTGATATTTGAATAAAAAGTGTAATCAGAATAGACTCTAGAATCTAGGTCTAATACATTTCAAATTTGAAGCTTCACCGATGTTTCTATCAAAAGATACAGCCCCTCCAAAACGCTGGTAGGCCTATATTCATATCATTTTGGTCAAAATCGACGAAAAAGACGTCCACGCAAAGTGATGTTGTTTTGCTAAATTTAGCCAAACAGCTGTATCGCGCGATATGCAAGCGTATGCATACGAACGCATGCTGCTAAGCCAATGCGCGACTTGCAGCTTGAGCCACGTTGTCTCCGCGATGCCTGCCATTGACTAGTATGAATAGCCGGTCGCGCAAAAAAACCAGGAAGTGACTACACGTTATAGTCAATGGCAATATCGCACGTGCACGTTGTCTCCGCGATATTGCCATTGACTATAACTTAATTTACTTCTGGGTTTATTGCGCGAATTGCTACTGCTAGCCATACTTTCATTCACTATAATGTGTAATTGAATTTCGGGTTTCGTTCGTACGCGGAGATGTTACGCGATGTAACCATGGTTTGGACTGAGCGGAGCGCACGCCCCCTAATTAGCTGATCCACCAAATAGCGGGAAGGGTATTTTTAAACTGTAATCAGTTGTGATCCCTGGGGGCTAGCGAAAATATGAGCGCATAGAACAAGTTGCAAGTTGCATTTCAGTTGCAATTGCAATTAGAATCTAGGCCTAGACTAGACCTAGTCTAGAGATTGAGATCTAGGCCTAGATCTACTAATATTAGATCTAGACTACGACAGTAGGCCTACTAGATCTAGTACTACTAGATCTAGAATAGACCTCTACTGCTCTAGACTCTAGGTAGGGCCTAGACCCTATTAGAATATACTAGTACTAGGCCTAGTCTAGATCTAGATCTAGTCTAGGCCTAGGCCTATATTCTAGGGTCTACCCAGACGTTTTGACGTGTCTGGACAGGACACTTTTACTTTTAGCCTAGTCTAGGCCCTGCCCCTAGTTTTAAATGGTAAATTTAACAACTTTTATTTACCAAAGCAAAGCCTGGCAATTATACTTCTAGATCTATAGATCTAGGCCTAGGCCTACTACTAGACTAGATTAGATTCTAAGCTTTAAATTTAATTTTCATGACATGGACTTGGAGTTGGAAAGGGGTAGACTAGATCTAGGCCCGAGATCTAGACCCAAGAACTTGGTAGGGAGGCCAATCTGCAACACGAGCCTTAATTTTCTTGACTTGGACAGGGGTAGATCTAGATCTTTCTGCCACACAAGTCCTAATTTTCTTGACTTGGACAGAGGTATATAATACATGTTATGTTTTTTTTATGCCACACAAGCCTTAATTTTCTTGACTTGGACAGAGGTATATAATACATGTTATGTTATTTTATGCCACACAAGCCTTAATTTTCTTGACTTGGACAGGGGTAGACAATAATGTCGTTCTGCCACACAAGCCTTAATTTTCATGACTTGGACAAAGGTATATAATACATGTAATGTCTTTCTGCCACACAAGCCCTAATTTTCTTGACTTGGACAGGGGTAGACAATAATGTCGTTCTGCCACACAAGCCTTAATTTTCATGACTTGGACAGGGGTAGACAATAATGTCGTTCTGCCACACAAGCCTTAATTTTCATGACTTGGACAGAGGTATATAATACATGTAATGTTTTTCTGCCACACAAGCCTTAAATTTCTTGACTTGGACAGGGGTAGACAATAATGTCTTACTGCCACACAAGCCTTAATTTTCTTGACTTGGACAGGGGTAGACAATAATGTCGTTCTGCCACACAAGCCTTAATTTTCATGACTTGGACAGAGGTATATAATACATGTAATGTTTTTCTGCCACACAAGCCTTAATTTTCTTGACTTGGATAGAGGTATATAATACATGTAATGTCTTTCTGCCACACAAGCCCTAATTTTCTTGACTTGGACAGGAGTAGACAATGTCTTACTGCCACACAAGCCTTCATTTTCTTGACTTGGACAGGGGTAGACAATAATGTCTTACTGCCACACAAGCCTTAATTTTCATGACTTGGACAGAGGTATATAATACATGTAATGTTTTTCTGCCACACAAGCCTTAATTTTTAATGATTTGGACAGGGGTATATAATACATGTAATGTCTTACTGCCACACAAGCCTTAATTTTCATGACTTGGACAGAGGTATATAATACATGTAATGTTTTTCTGCCACACAAGCCCTAATTTTCTTGACTTGGACAGGGGTAGACAATAATGTCTTACTGCCACACAAGCCTTAATTTTCATGACTTGGACAGAGGTATATAATACATGTAATGTTTTTCTGCCACACAAGCCTTAATTTTCTTGACTTGGACAGGGGTAGACAATAATGTCTTACTGCCACACAAGCCTTAATTTTCTTGACTTGGACAGGGGTATATAATACATGTAATGTCTTTCTGCCACACAAGCCTTAATTTTCTTGATTTGGACAGGGGTATATAATACATGTAATGTCTTACTGCCACACAAGCCTTAATTTTCATGACTTGGACAGAGGTATATAATACATGTTATGTCTTTCTGCCACACAAGCCTTAATTTCCATGACTTGGACAGAGGTATATTAAAAATGTAATGTCTTTCTGCCACACAAGCCCTAATTTTCTTGACTTGGACAGGGGTATATAATACATGTAATGTTTTTTTTATGCCACAGAAGCCTTAATTTTCTTGACTTGGACATGGGTAGATAATAATGTCTTTCTGCCACACAAGCCTTAATTTTCATGACTTGGACAGAGGTATATAATACAAGTAATGTCTTTCTGCCACACAAGCCTTAATTTTCTTGACTTGGACAGAGGTATATAATACATGTAATGTCTTTCTGCCACACAAGCCCTTGTTTTCTTGACTTGGACAGGGGTAGACAATAATGTCTTACTGCCACACAAACCTTAATTTTCATGACTTGGACAGAGGTATATAATACATGTAATGTTTTTCTGCCACACAAGCGTTAATTTTCTTGACTTGGACAGGGGTATATAATACATGTAATGTCTTACTGTCACACAAGCCTTAATTTTCATGACTTGGACAAAGGTATATAATACATGTAATGTTTTTCTGCCACACAAGCCTTAATTTTCTTGACTTGGACAGGGGTAGACAATAATGTCTTACTGCCACACAAGCCTTAAGTTTCATGACTTGGACAGAGGTATATAATACATGTAATGTTTTTCTGCCACACAAGCCTTAATTTTCTTGACTTGGACAGAGGTATATAATACATGTAATGTTCTTTTTATGCCACAGAAGCCTTAATTTTCATAACTTGGACAGAGGTATATAATACATGTAATGTTTTTCTGCCACACAAGCCTTAATTTTCTTGACTTGGACAGGGGTAGACAATAATGTCTTACTGCCACACAAGCCTTAATTTTCTTGACTTGGACAGGGGTATATAATACATGTAATGTCTTTCTGCCACACAAGCCTTAATTTTCATGACTTGGACAGAGGGATATAATACATGTAATGTTTTTCTGCCACACAAGCCTTAATTTTCATGACTTGGACAGAGGTATATAATACATGTAATGTCTTTCTGCCACACAAGCCCTCATTTTCTTGACTTGGACAGGGGTAGACAATAATGTCTTACTGCCACACAAGCCTTAATTTTCATGACTTGGACAGAGGTATATAATACATGTAATGTCTTTCTGCCACACAAGCCCTAATTTTCTTGACTTGGACAGGGGTAGACAATAATGTCTTACTGCCACACAAGCCTTAATTTTCTTGACTTGGACAGGGGTATATAATACATGTAATGTCTTTCTGCCACACAAGCCTTAATTTTCATGAGTTGGACAGAGGGATATAATACATGTAATGTTTTTCTGCCACACAGGCCTTAATTTTCATGACTTGGACAGAGGTATATAATACATGTAATGTCTTTCTGCCACACAAGCCCTCATTTTCTTGACTTGGACAGGGGTAGACAATAATGTCTTACTGCCACACAAGCGTTAATTTTCTTGACTTGGACAGGGGTAGACAATAATGTCTTACTGCCACACAAGCCTTAATTTTCTTGACTTGGACAGGGGTATATAATACATGTAATGTCTTTCTGCCACACAAGCCTTAATTTTCATGACTTGGACAGAGGGCTATAATACATGTAATGTTTTTCTGCCACACAAGCCTTAATTTTCATGACTTGGACAGAGGTATATAATACATGTAATATCTTTCTGCCACACAAGCCCTCATTTTCTTGACTTGGACAGGGGTAGACAATAATGTCTTACTGCCACACAAGCCTTAATTTTCATGACTTGGACAGAGGTATATAATACATGTAATGTCTTTCTTTTACACGAGCCCTAATTTTCTTGACTTGGACAGGGGTAGAAAATAATGTCTTACTGCCACACAAGCCTTAATTTTCTTGACTTGGACAGGGGTATATAATACATGTTATGTCTTTCTGCCACACAAGCCTTAATTTCCATGACTTGGACAGAGGTATATAATACATGTAATGTCTTTCTGCCACACAAGCCCTCATTTTCTTGACTTGGACAGAGGTACATGTGTATAATACA